GTATATAAATGTTCAGGGAACTATCTCAACACTAGACAAAATCGGTTGCATCCTGTTTTTTTACTCTACTGCTTCTTCTTTTTCTTCTTTTAATGACTTCGAGCAATCGTTAAATTTATCACAGACCGACATAGCAACAAAAATTTCAACACTTTTTCCCCATGAAGATTTCAAGTGAGAAATTACTTTTTTGTGGTGGCACTACTAATATGGATGTGTACAGGGTGTCCCATAACTAATCCGCCCTCGAGCATCAGGCGTTTGAGTATGAGTATTGTATGAATATTATCACTCTAATGCAATCGCCCTGTGTAGACAGCACTGTTTCTATGGTGTAAAAGAATTATTTATTGATTGTTTTTAATGTAAATAAAGTTTTATCTGGAGAAGTGGTGTAATTCTTATTCCTATCCAGAGAAACGTTACAAATGGCGCAGTCGGTAGGATGCCATTTTTAATGTAAATAAAGTTTTATCTGGAGAAGTGGTGTAATTATATTCCTATCGAGAGAAACGTTACAAATGGCGCAATCGGTAGGATGCCATTTGTAACGTTTCTCTGGATAGGAATAAGAATTACACCACTTCTCCAGATAAAACTTTATTTACATTAAAAACAATCGATAATGTTTCTTTCACACTATAGAAACAGTGCTGTCAACGTTTCTCTGGATAGGAATAAGAATTACACCACTTCTCCAGATGAAACTTTATTTACATTAAAAACAATCGATAATGTTTCTTTTACACTATAGAAACAGTGCTGTCTACACAGGGCGATTGCATTACAGTGATAATATTCATACAAGTATTATTTCAATATACAGGGTGTAAATTTGAAAACTTCCAATGCGAATATCTCGCGAAAGCAAAAAGTTAGAAAAACGCCGTTTGGCAAAAATGCTAAAGAGTTAAGGGGAACTAGAACCACCATATTTTGGTCGAGGGATGAGTCACCCCGTCGGCGCGACACACCCCAACTTTGAAATGTCAAATGGCACTACCTTTTTTGTGATGCCTCAAATGAACAGTCTCAGTCAGTAGTATTCACCTGTACAAGACTTTTTTTACACCCACTACAGGGTGTTCGAAAAATATAAAGCCGAATAAAATAAAATGAATTGTGTTAAAAGGATATTTTATTTGATCAGATGTTCGAAATGCATTCCATTCTGTTGTAAGCAATAGTATAATCGATGTTCAAATGCCATTCTAACATTTTGAAACACATCTCTTGGAATATATCGGCATTCTGCATTTTATTTTATTCGACTTTATGTTTTCCGTTCACCCTGTAGTGGATGGAAAAAAAGTCTTATACAGGTGAAGACTACTGACTGAGACCGTTCATTTGAGGTATCACAAAAGAGGTAGTGCCATTTGACATTTCAAAGTTGGGGTGTGTTTGCGCTGACAGGGTGACTCATCCCTTCACTGAAATATGGTGGTTCTAGTTCCCCTTAACTCTTTAGCATTTTTGCCAAGCGGCGTTTTTCTAACTTTTTTATTTCGCGAGATATTCGCATATTGAAAGTTTTCAAATTTACACCCTGTACATGTAGTGAGGACAAATCAGAAGATTTTCCCCAAAATGTCAATGAGTTTTAAAATTGATCGAAAAAATATCAAATTTTTATATACCTTTCGACGATTCTGTACAATTTTATATTGAATAACTTATCAACGTTTTTATTGTTTTTTTTTCACTGTGAAGAAACTGATTTTCAATATACGGGGTTCTCATACATTTTTGGTTTTTTACTTTTTATCAATTGTATTCAAAATTGTTGAATTTCTTCACTATCGAAGAGTGACGCCTTGTTTTGGAAAATTTGAATGTAACTACCTATATTGAGAAATATAGAGTTCTAGTTATCTTTCAACATGAAAATAGTTAGAAATTATTCGCAATTTGTCTTTGGTTGTCTCTATTGGTCAATATCTCCACACAAATGAGGTAGAAATCTGCAATAATGCTATTTCTGACATCAATAGTATGGAGAAGCAGCTAAATAAATGTCAGATATTTCGAAAACTAAGGCGTTTGAATAAAACTGTAGCTAGGAAAAAGTTAGATACTTGATCATGTTATTCATTAAAATATCAAAATATGGTCAGTGGCGTAGCCAAAAAACAGCGGTGCATTTTTTGGTACAGATGAGTTAATTTCAATTGCCCTATTTTGACCTATAGTTCACCCTGTAGAATTTATTGCACGTTGTTCTGGGACACCCTATATAATGTCAGAGAAATTCTTGATATCCTCTTTTTTTGACATTGTGCCACCATTAGCGGAAAAAACTTCAATTCACCTGATCTAATTGTCTGGGGAGATACAACTAGTACCAACCTAAATAATAGATTATACACTATAGCAATACTAGAAAACGTATATACATTGTTCATAATTTACGTATACATGGGTACATAGGAGTATAGTTGACACAAAGTATACATACTTTATTGCTAAGTTTGGTAACATTAATCATTGGTAATAACTGCAACAATGTAAACAATAGTTGAAACGGATTTGAGAATGAAAATATACTTTTTCAACTGAAAATTTATGGAATGAAAACCCTCCAATTATTGAGAATGGGATTTAACTCTTTCAAATTAGGAATAAACATTTCATATACAGAATGAATAAATTCAGACTGGGAATAAATAACCTCCAATTGAGAATAATCGATTTCAAATTCACATATATAAATTGTCTAAATTATCAAAACTTTTAAATGTATGATAAATTGACATTCATCATACAGGACGTGGAAAGAAATTCTGAATTGAGAAAAACCTAATCACGAATCTGCGATTGAGGTCTATAAAAATAACAAGAATTGAAAAGGAACATTCTCATATATATATGAACACACAAAAAATGTATATATATATAAAGAAATACATTGGTAGATGATGTTAATTCTCAATTTCAGAGGATTTTGATCTTTCATGCTCTCTTTTTGGATATTCAACAGATATAATTCAATGTTCGACGTGGCAAATAGCCAGGAAAGTAGTTGTTTTCTGTTGAATATTCAGAATTATATTATGTGCCTTTATATGAAGGAGAGAATGCAAATTCTCTACTTCAGAAGATTTTGTTTTCAAATTCTCATCCTGTGTGTACAATAGATGTAATTCAATATTCGTCGTGGCATATAGCCAGGAAAGTAGTTGTTTTCTGTTGAATAAACCGTGAAAGAATTGATATTTTCATCACATGGAGAATGCGAATTCTCAATATGTATTTCTTTATAACAGTGTCATTCATAAAGTCGGCATCATATGGGAAAAACTTTTATTAATGACTTATTTTGAAATTCGAGTTGGACGTTAAGTTTTGCTTCAAAAAAGATGAAAAATGGCCTACTCAATCGGGGTCACGTGACTTTCCCTACATGTCAAAAGTGACATTTTTTCAAATTAATCGCTGAAAGTAGGCTTATTTGTTTGAATATCGAAAAAGTTTACTTGAAAAAGTTGTTTCTATCCAAATTTTACATATGTGACTCCGATTTTATCTTTCTATTACATTTTTTAGATTTCGATATTTTTTGAAAATTTTCGAAATTTCTGTAATATTAAAAAAAATTGTGAATTCGATAAGACTACTTCATACCAGTAGTTTCATCATGCTACTAACTTTCAATTACTAATTATCACTAATTATCGACAAAAATATGATTTTCTTCAGAAAATGATAATCTCCGCTTCAAAATTCTGTTATGTTTTTGATGCAAACATAACATCAAAATTCTGTTACGTTTGAGTCAAACATTTAGAAACGAAATTCATTTAAATTTTTTTTTCAGTACTGAAAAGATCAGTTTAAATTAATTTCGTTTCTAAATGCTTGACGATATATCAACTTTGCATCAAACATAACAGAATTTGTAAGCGGGTATTATCATTTTCTGAAGAACATCATATTTCTGTCCATAATCAGTGATAATAAGTAATTGAAAGTAAGTAGCATGAAAAAGCTACTGGTATGAAGTAGTTTCGTGAAATTAACAATTCTTCAAATATTACAGAAATTTCGAAAAATTTAAAAAAAAAATCAAAATCTAAAAGTTGCAATAGAAAGATCAAATTTGAGAATGATGTGTCAAATTGGAATAGAAACAACTTTTTCAAGTAAACTCTTTCGATATTCGAACAAATAAGCCTACTTTCAGCGATTAATTTGAAAAAATATCTCTTTTGACATGTAGCGAAAGTCACGTGACCCCGATTGAGTAGGACATTTTCCATCTTTTTTGAAGCATAACTTAACGTCCACCTGGAATTCCAAAATGAGTCATCAATAAAAGTTTTTCCCATATGATGCCGACTTTATGAATGACACTGTATATATATCCATTTTTTTGTGTTCATAAATATATCTGAGAATGTTCCTTTTCAATATCAAAACTTTCATAGAGAGACAATGTACATTGAACAACTATTATTTTTCCGCTGTGTCAACCATCTCCTATACAGAGTGTTTTTAAAGGTTAGGCATCTTTTTTGAACAGGTTGAAAAATTTATAAAAATGAAGCATTCCACCAGATGTCACCTATATAAAAGATATCAACAGTTGAAATATTTCATTAATTGAAACGGATCTGTCATACAATTTTTATTGCTAGTCATAGATGTCATAGATATGGATTTATTCCGCCTTTGATTACAACAATTTATTTCTATGACTATCAGGTATGTAACATTTTTTGAACGTTATTTTATACAGGCGAGTTTTGGTGGAACATATTGTTATAATCTTTTTAAAAAAATATGTCTTACCCTTTAAAACATGCGATATTTGGAAATGTCAGAAAAGTCATGATTACAATATTACAATAACAAACTCGTAAGTGTATTAATTGGATGGAGAAGTCACTTTTCTTAATCTATTTATTGTATATTTACGTATATAAGTTCCAAATAGTATACTTCAAACAGTACTCAGAAATAGTTACTGATGGTATTCCAATTTTTTTTTTTTTTTCAGTTTTGAGTACAAATAAATTTGTCAACTCTTTTGATCATATAGTAAATAAAGAATAACAGTATATGGTCCACAAATATATACATTTTTTTAAAGCGTGAGTTTCTACATTTTCAAAAAAATACTTACCAGTTTTTAAATAATGACACTGTCCAAAATAATAATCGTCTCTCGGAAAAATGTCGTATTGATATTTTCAATACAAGATCGAATTTGAGTGGGGGAGCAAAAAAAGTGTATGTAAAAATTTGTGAAACATATAGTTATTTCTAATTTAAACACATCCAACCACTTTAGCATGTACAGACATATATAATTTACTTATAACTCTAATAATTACAGATATAATACTGAAATGAGCATCAAATTCAAAAATTTGCGTATACATTGAATTATGTGAGACGCCATTAGCTTTTACTCTATGGGCCTTATCGAGGTATATATTACGTATACTGGTTTCATATTAACACAAGAAATGTACGATCTAAATCAGCCTTATGAACAAGTGAAAAGAACTGCCTGAATCCACTTTATACTAGGTGAAACATAGAGAACAGTAGTTTCATTTTTTGTCTGTAAAATGAGTTCAGACAATGCTAGTGATCTTCCATGACTACAAGCTTATCTGCAAAAAAAAATTTGTCATTCATTATTTTTATCAGATGCAAAAAAGTGGCGTTTTCGTTGTCTCAACCAATATCAATGCGTAATTCTAGCCAATCATTTGGTATCATACTGATAATTTGTTATTAGCTAATTATAGCAATAATTTGTTCACGTCACGTCTTTGTTGCTATTGAGACATCCCACTCGTGGACTTATTCTTTCACTCGAGAGATATTTATAGCAACAAAGATTCGTGCATCTAGTTAAAATTATCAAAAAATTACCACCGTTTGTGTAATTTCTGTTGATGAAACATGAATCAGGTTCTATTCAGTTGGAATCAAAGTTCCAGAACGTATACGACAGGTATTGTTTTTGCTATGATGGGAGATGAAAATTCGAAATTTTGGAGATGTTACGGCCAATTCGTGTTAGTAGGAGGAACCTACTTTGGATTTTTCTAGTTAAACAGACTTCACATATACAAAGATGCTCCTTGAACCTAATTTCAATGGGCCTCCTAGTTTGACCTACATCTGTTCTGCCCCAATGAATGAAGAATAAGGTCTGAATGCTCTCAAGGATTGTTGTGATCTATTGGAGCACTTTTTGTTAGGAGTATTCAAAAATAGAAGAACCTTAAACTGGATTTTCATAATCTACCAGACTTGGAAGTTGCAATAAGAGGTTCCTTGAACCTAGTATCAATGGGCCTTCCTGTTTAATCAACATATATTATGTTTTTTCACAATCGTTAGGCATTGTTTTCGTTATTATGGGAGATCGAAATTTGAAATTTTGTAGTTGTTGGGGTTAATTTGTATCAATAGAGAGAGAACCAATACTGGCTTTTTCTGATTTAACATACGTTAAATGTGCAAGATGCTCATTGAGCCTGGTCTCAATGGGCCTCCTAGTTAGACCTATGTTGTTCCATAAATGTCTGATTTTGAATATGATATGAATATGAAATTTGAATATGTTCATAACTGTATGTTCCAAAAGTTACCATTGGGGTCATTGGGGTGATATTTTTTTACACACTTAAAAAAACATTACCCAAAATCTGTTACATCTGTTACAATTAAAACATTCATATACGGATCATGGATGCTCTACGAATATCACAATGTAATTATTTAGTTTCAGCGGATAAGAAGAAAGTAATTGATGGAGAAAATAGCGGTAAATTTGAATTCATCAAAATGAGCGAAAAGGATTTTGAGTAATCAATGGAAAATTGATTTTCTCTGAAAAATGTTTACATTATAGTGATTCCCTTTCGTGCACATCAAGCGATACAAAAAACTTGGGACACCCGGTATAAAGATTGTGGTTATAGTACTCACCTCGAGGAACATGTATTTTTTGGCATTTTCACTGCCTCTCAGCGTCCGAACTGTTGCTGTAGCCTAACACTTCGGCAGTATGGCCGTTTTGGTTAACTTCTCCTGTCTGAGGATTCGCGTCTATCACCAAACTACCCTCATCCCCATCGCTGCTGTACGAATCTCCCTCGTCGTCAGAACTCGACAGCATCCCTGAAACACATGAAAGAATCAGTTTCAATCCGCCCCTGAAGATGCTAACATAGTTAGCGAAACACGTGTCAATCGAGGCATTCGAAAAATCGGATTGGTAATGAGTGATTAAACAGTGTATTACTACCTATCTATGATTAAATAGTCCATAATCCTTCACATAGAAGCGATGAAATTGCTTGTGATTGTAGGTGTGAAACCTATTCAGTTGGCATGATTTTTCTAAATCAATCAACAGAATCAATAAAAGTCTCGTAAGGCTGGAGATCATTGAAGAATAAACTTGACATTAATAGAATCTGAGTAGACAAGGAGTGATCAAAGGCAGGACAATCTGTCCACGCAAATCCTGGAATTGTCTCGGGATGAGATAAAGAAAAAATACAACTTTGGTTCACCACGAAGTTGAGCTGCAAAAAAGAATGGGACAGATAATTCATAGGTATTGTGCTCAAAGAAAGAGCCATAAGTGGGTACACAGAGGGCTGCAAAACAAAAGATGAAACTGGAATATGAGTATACGGGCCTTGTGCCAAGTACTTCGAAAGTCTTGACGAATCCCGAGCATATTCCAGGCAAAAGTTCACGCTATAGGAAAATGTGTACAGTTCAATCTAAAAAAAAACTATGGAAGACGATAGATATCATCATGACTGATTGTCAAGCAGCCATTAAAGCGCTGAGCTCTATGGTTATCAGGAGGAGCTAGGCAACAGAAATACAGTCACTCTGCTATGGGTTAGGGGACATTTAGGAGTAGAATAAAATGAAGTATCGGGCAAACTCGCTAGGAAAGGCGCTCAAACCCTTTGTGGGGCCAGAACCCTACTGCAGGATCAGCAGCAGTACTGTATCAGAAGAAATTAGAAAGGAAGAAGTTGAACAGAGATCAGACATCTGCGAAAATCTTAAAGGTATCAGACAGGCTAAGATACTCTGGTACATATAACGACAAAAGATCGAACGCATTTGTCAGCCCTTTTACTTCGTTAACCAACGGGAGTGCGTACAGGGCACTGCAGGTTTTGTGAAGAAACCTCTATCCATATACTTAACGGAATGTATCACCTACTGAGACAGAAGATTTACTAGGTGAGATACAATGGCCCACCAGGCCTAAGTGTCGTCGGAGACATTGGTGAGACGAGCCTACAAGCGGGGTGGAATGTTTAGTGGGTATACCCTGGCTAGAGTCAGGGAACTCCCACACAATCATATGGGGGATCAGACCCATATGATGTCCATAAAGGATTTCAACCACCTCGAAAAAAATCACCCTACAAAATCCAATGATCGGAAATCTAGGAGCACACATAATAGAGGAGGAGCGGCTACTCTACCTGTAACCACCTTATATCTTAGAATTTCTGAGGTATATAATATAGGACTAGAGAAATTACTACAGTTCAACCTGTATTCCCTCCTTATGCATACAATACGATACAATACAAGTGAAGGCTTGTGAGTTGTGATTGAAGGTGTGACCATTTGTCAATCATCAGGATTTTGTAAGGTCAAGTAACAGAGTGAAATAGATGTGAATGTTAACAGGACCTCATGTGAAGTGTTGGGATTTTCTACCTGAGAAGTGTTAGGATTTCCTACCTGAAGATCCTTCACAAAAGTAAATGAACGTCAATGGAAGCCGTGTATTGCTAGTGATCAGAAGAGTGATTCTATAAGATTTTCACTACATTCAAGTTACTGAAAGTTGATCAAAACCCATCTGAAGCAGACTTGTCATCAAAATTGAGGAATTTGCTCATTCGTGAAGATCTACACTAGTGACTTAATAGAAGTCTAGCTTGTGATTGAGAGTGTGGAACTTTATCATTAATCAAGATACTATATACAGGGTGTTATTTAAGTACGTGGCCAAAATTGAAGGAGTGATTCTTTGAGTGATTCTGAGACGAAAAGTTCATATAAACATAGGTCCGGTAATGCTTCGTTTTCAAGATACAGGGTGTCAAAATTTTTAAAAGAAATCGTTTTTTTCGTAAATATCTTAATAACCCTTCAACCGATTTTATTGAGATTTGGCAGTGTTATTCAAGGTCGTGAAGGGCTAATTTAATCTCAACTATATCAAAATTATCATGTCCAGTGGCGTCCCGGAAGGCACTGTAACCAATATTTTTGACAGAAAAAATGTGTGCCACTGATTTTTTTGCAATTTTTGTATTTGTTTCACATTGAGCAACTAAAATTACAACTTTTTTATATATAACATTTTTTTCGTATCTTGCTTTGTTTTTGAGAAAAAAAATAAAAATCACATCATTGCACATCCCTGTGACAACACAATAAAACATTTCAACTACTAAACCATCAAAAACTGGGATCCTACTAATATTTTTTCATATTAATACTCTATTTTAGTCTTGGAATTTTCTATTAAAATTAATGCAATGAAAAAACAAAAAATATGTATGTATGAATTGCAGCACTTGCCTTCGGCTCTTGGCTTCGGCTCGTCACAGGGATGTGCAATGAAGTGATTTTTATGTTTTTCCTCAAAAACAAAGCAAGATACGAAAAAAATTCTAGATATAAACAAGTTGTAATTTTAGTTGCTCAATGTGAAACAAATACAAAAATTGCAAAAAAATCAGTGGCGCACATTTTTTCTGTCAAAAATATTGGTTACAGTGCCTTCCGGGACGCCACTGGACATGATAATCTTGATATAGTTAGGGTTAAATTAGCCCTTCACGACCTTGAATAACACTGCCAAATTTCAATAAAATCGGTTGAAGGGTTATTAAGATATTCACGGAAAAAAAGGTTTCTTTTAAAAATTTTGACACCCTGTATCTTGAAAACGAAGCATTACCGGACCTATGTTTATATGAACTTTTCGTCTTAGAATCAATCAAAGAATCACCCCTTCGAGTTTGGCCACGTACTTAAATAACACCCTGTATATACTCAAGTAACAGGAAGATAAAGTCTAAGCCATATAAAGCCGGCATTTCATTGAAAATGCGAAACCTGATCATTCATAAAGATTTCCTGCACTCAAGTCAATTGAAGCCATATAAAGCAAGTTTGTCATCGGTACTGTGAAACTTGATCATCAGTGAAGTTGTTCAACACTTAAGTTGATAGAAATCATCAATTCGTCAGGATTTTCGACACTCAAAGTATCAATGGTGAAGCAGACTTGTCATTGAGAGTGTGAAACCTGATAAGTGAACATTTTCTACACAAGTAACTAAGTATGTCGAAGCAGAATGTAGCAGGCTTGTGATTGAAAGTGTGAAGCTTTATGATTGGTTGAGATGTCCTGCACTCAAGTAACTGAATCAATGGATGCCAAATGTAATGTGTCATTGACAAGGAGATTTTCTTACTTTCCAACTGCGGCTGCATATTCGCAAAGTCCTGCGGCCAAAACCTCCTGTTGTTGTTCTGGTGGCTCTTCTTCTTCTTGTGACTCGGTGAGTTGGTGGTGCTACTGTTCTCCGACGGAGCGCTAGCGTCCAACATCGGCTGCAGGATTCTTCTTCTCGCGTTGATGAACCAATTGTTCACCTGCAGAAGGGTGAGGTTCGTTTGGGCAGCTATGTGTCGTTTTTCGTCCTCCGTAGGATAAGGATGCTGAAAATTCAATATTTTGAAGAACATTCAATAGTCTACAATGTCTTTCAGAAAGTTGGCATTATATAGAAAGATACTTTTGAAGACAATTATTTATTTCGAAATTCAACTTGGGTTTTGAGTTTCGCTATAAAAAATTTGAAAATCGTCCTACTTGGTCGGAGTCACTTCGTGACTTTACCTACATGTCGAAAGTTATATATTTTCAAATGAATCGCTGAAAATATACTAATTTCCACTAATTACTGACAAAAAAATATGATTTTCTTGATGATGATGCCAAAGTCATCAATCAAAATATCATCAAACTACTTTACGTATCTAACCGAAGTGTACGATAGTTTTGTAAAAGTTACAATATTTTCAATCACAGAAATTTCGTAAATTAATAAATATAAAAAAAGTAAAAGTTGCAATAAAACCTTCAAATTTGATAAGCATCTGTAAAATCGCAATAAAAAAACTGCTCTTAGCAAACGTTTTTGAAATTAATACAGATAAGCCTATTTTCAGCGATTAGTTTGAAAAAAATTGTCACATGACCCCTACCGATTAGTTTTATCAAAGCAAAACTTGAGGCGGCCCAAGTGAAATTTCAAAATGAACCATAATTATTAAACGTTTTTCTCATATGATACCAACTTTCTAAAAGACACTGTATACATATGATTCAATAATCTTCACTATCTGCCGATCAGGGAAGAATAATAGTTATTCATGTATCAAGGGCGTAAAATGAGATTTTATGGAGTTGTTATCACTCTGGAAGAAATCTAATGTTCAATCTGAAGGCATTTGACCCTGAACCAAAAAACATTTCGCGTGCACCGCATTTTCAGCGCACGAAGAATTTATTCGAGTTTCTTCCTACTCACCACCAGATGCTGGAACAACCACGACCGCATCACGCTGGTCGCGTGCTTCGGCAGCACGCCCCTCTTCTGCTTCCTGCCGCCCCTCGACGCGAAATCGCTGTCACAGTCGTCGGCCGACCCGCCAGGCGTGGTGGGAGCGGGCGACAGCGGGCCCGACCCCTCGCTGGGAGGTACCGAACACAGCCCCGCCCCGATCTGCGACAGCGGCGTCGAGCCGTGCACGACGAGCGCGTCGACGGGAGGCGGGGCCGGCGGGAGGGGCGTGGTGGGGTAGAGGGGCGGGGCCGGGTAGGCTGGGGGCGTGTCCAGCAGGCCGGGCGGGTTCGGGAGGACCTGGAAGAGAGGGAAGGAACATGAGAGTGTCAATTGTCTTGTTTGTTGCACACTTGCACTGATAACTGTCTCGTTGAAATAATGAGTCTATGTCTTTGGAAGTAGCAGACCGTCACGTCATCAGAATAACTTGGTGAAAGGAGTGATTTAGAAAAAACATCACATTCTATAAGGACCTCTGCGGAATTGCTGATGTAATTCAATGTTCTGCGTAACATTATAGTCAGGAAAGTACCATGTTGTTGTTTTTTTTCCGTCATCTACCAATGATGTTCATTTTTCGAGCATATCTAGAAATTACTTTGAATTTCTGCTTCTTATATTCAAACAAATTTAGTTCAATGTTTACTATGCATGTATTTGGAATCATGAGTCTATATGGCTACTTCTACTTTACTTGATTACTTACTGGTTGTGGTGGACTAATTGAATATTGTACGGGACTGTTAGAAGCTGATCCGCTATCCGAGTTGCCATGTGACATCATATTGTTGTTGTTCTCCATGTTGCCCATAAGGCCGGTACCTAAAACATCTTCAATTTCTATATTAGTTTTGCGTTTCGATGATGGAGAAGTTTGTGGCACGAACCTTGTGGATAATCGGATCTCAGTAAGTTCTCAGATTGCATTTTTCCTTTTAAACACGTGATGTAGCGATTACAGAAATCCTTACAGAGTTCTTGGACTTTTTCTAATTCCAACAGGTGTATCCTCAACACTTGTATGGCTTTTATCATCTGGAAATAGCAACGTTGTAAGATTATCCTCAACGTTGTAATATTTTGCTTACCAATCCATCAATTTCTGGTTCGTTCGCTAAAAAAGGTTTTCTATCGCGTTCTTGGTGTTGAACAAAAGCCTGGATGTCCAGGTTGAAGGCTTCACTGGACTGGGAGTCTGAAGATTGGGTAGCGAGTTCACATCGTTCGAATAGGAGAGCCAATAAAGGAAAGAGAGGATGCCTACAAAAATAAACATCAGCTATAAAATATTTGTGGAAAATTAACAACTATGAATTAGATAATCAGAGTCTATGATATGACGAGATGTGATTATATGAGGACCTATGAGGATTCCTCAGTAATACCAGAATCCATGGGATTTTAAGTGAGATCAGTGAAAACTGGTCATAATCGATAGTTGGTAAGAAACTATCATAAGTTCTTCAAGCAGCATGCATACCTATTTTGATTTTCATGACTTTCATGACACTCTTATGTGTCCCGACAAAATGTTTATATGGATCTTATCAGAATCTATGAAATTCGTCATGTATTTACGAGGATTTGGGAGAATCTCTGAGGGTAGGTGTATGAGGACTGAGAAACATGAATTAATGAGGTTTCATGAGATTTTAGTGAAAGTGACAGTGGAAATTATCAGAATATATAAGTTCATACAAGAACCCCACTTGTAAACTTTGACTGCTGCCTCGAATTGAGCAAGTTCTTGAAGTAGTAGGAATACCTATTTTGATTTCATGACACTTCTACGTGTCCAACGTTTTTATATAAATCTCATCAGAATCTATGACAATGTATATCTACGAGGATTTAGGAGAATCTTTAATGGTATATGAGTAACTTTCAGAAAACATAAATTGATGAGGATTCAAGAGATTCGAGCAGAAATTATCAAAATTTATGAGAATCATTATGTCAACGAGGATTTATGATAATATCTAAGGTACCTACCTAGATATGAGGAATTCTGAGAAACATATATCCATGAGGATTCAAGAAAGTTTAATGAAAATCTATGAGCATCATTATGCATCTGCCAGGATTTAAGAGAATAGAACAAACATATTAAGTATAATCGATAAGGTTTCCTGAGATTTCAGTGATTTCAGTGATTATTTTCTTCATATGATTTTAAACCAATCAGAACGTTCAATTGAGTTAAGCTACCTTGTATAATTTCGAATATACGTGGACATAGAGTAACTCCACCAATCATAAATTCAGAATTATTTCCATGGTAACCAATTCATATATTGTTATATATTAACAAGGCGCGTCGTAAAATATTGACGTTCGTTGAGAGCTACTCAGAAAATAATCGCTTCGATAAAACAATTCGAACTATAAACTATTCAAGGTGATACACCTCAAACTTCCTGCATAATTACAAAACGTGTCAGTACAACAAAATAGTCCTGCCGCTTAGCGATCATATTATTATTCAACTGTCAAATGACACCTCGTCACTTATGTAGAAGGCCATTTGTCTACCTCGAATTGGGCTAGTTTTTGAATTAGTAAGAATACCTACCTATTTTGATTTTCATGACACTCTTAGGAGTCCCAATGTTCTTATATGAATCTCATGAGAATTATTATGTATCTACGAGGTTTTATGAAAATTTCTAAGGGTAGGAACTTTGAGAAATATATAAGTCAATGAGGATTCAAGAGATTCGAGCTGAAATTATCAAAATCTATGAGAATCATTATACATCTACGAGGATTTATGAGAATCTCTATAGGTATAAGAGGAATTTTGAGAAACATGTTGTATCTACGAGGATCTATGAGAATTTGGGGAATTTTCAGAAACAGTAATCCATGAGGTGCCTTGAAATTTCTGTGAATATATGAGTCAATACAAGAACCTTACTTGTAGACGGCCCTTTTGTCGGCCTCGAATTGGGCCTGGTCCGCCTCTGTGGGGGAGTAGGCCGCAGGCAGAGGCTGTGGCACCCCCGCATCTCCGACTGGTGGGACGCTTAGCATCGCGCTTTGCACTCCACACTCCATCTCATTTTACCTGGAACAACGGAAAAACTTCCATCTATACAGGATGTTTCATAATTGAATGCTGATCCTTAAGGGCGATAATCCTTGGATGATTCCAAAGAGAAAAGTTCATATCAACATATATGTCCTAAACCTCTTAGTTATTGAGCTACAGTGTGATGAAATTTCAAGAAAAAAATGAGTTTTTCATCATAATTTCTTATCACTCTTAGATATTGTTATGATATTTTGTATACAACTTTTCATTATTAAGGAGCATTTATTTACGTAAAAGATATTTGAAAATTGGGTAAAACTGCATATATAGCATGCGATGGGTTTTTTTTCAAAAATTTTTTTTGGTACTTACGTATTTTTGTCTGAAAAACACGAATTTGATAATGAAAATGTGAACAAACCACTATTTATCGAGATATTTCAAAAAAAGTTCGAAATTTCGACTCCTTTTTCCCCCTTGCGTTGGATGCATTTTCAGGTACTTGCTCTTCTTATTTTGTCATTGGACACTTTATATACTCATGATGTACTTCAATGACACATTTTTATACAGAAAATTCAACAGGAAATATGATTTTTATGGTGAGTTTTTCCTATTTAGTGAGCAAGCATACCAGATGACGGCCATTTTATCCATAGGTAATCCAAATACGAGATGTCAAATGTCAATAGATTGCTTTGGAATGACATTACACACGCCATTATTTCAAATGATATTCTTCCTTCTTTTCAATAAATATGGATAAATCACAAGAAAATCATATTTCTAGTTGACTCAATAATAGAAAAAAATGTGTCTTACATTGTGATATATATAAATTTATCCAATGATGAAAAAAGAAGGGTAAATTGTTTTAATTTCAATCCAGAAGACAGGCGGAAAAGAAGGGTAAATTTGTAACTTCATAGTGAAATATCTTGATAAATAATGGTTTGTTCACATTTTCATTATCAAATTCGTGTTTTTCAGACAAAAATACGTAAGTACCAAAAAAAATTTTCGAAAAAAAACCCATCGCATGCTAAATGCAGTTTTACCGAAAATTGTCACCAGTGGCGTCCGTACGGGGTTATTTGAACTGACAATTTTTGAAGAAAAAGATAGTACGCCACTGATTTTTCTGAGAACCAGATTTTTTTTCAATTCTTATACATTTTGGAGCAAATTTGGTTCCTATAGACTTACTTTCATACAACGTACCGTTTTCGCGTAAAAAAATAAAAACCAAAGAATTTTGTTCCTTCAGTTCTTGGATATTGTTTTTGGTAATTCAGTAGACACCCACTATAAGTGGAAACACATTTTGTTTTGTGACGAAAATCAAACTTTTACTTTTACCAGTGATGTCCTCGTAGACCTGATATTGAATGTTTAGTTAAAAAAAAACGCTGTATGCTTCTCATTCCAACACCCTGTAGCTCAAAAACTAAGAGGTTCAGGACATATGTTGATATGAACTTCTCTTCTTAAAATCATCCAAGGATCATCGCCCTTTAGGATCAGCATTCAATTATGAAACACCCTGTATATACTTGAAGGTTGAGGTTAAAAATCAAGATAAGTCACTCCTTCTTGAGAGACGTCGAATACCTATTTTACATACCTACATACATAATATTATATTGAGAAGTTTTTTCATTAGGAATATGCCACAAAAATACTATTTTTTGTTCAAGGTCATGAATTTTGAGCTATCGCGAGCATCAAAGCTTTCGCATCGAAGTTCATATTGACATTATTGAATCCCTGGTTTTATGTCCGGGATTTTTGAATACAAATGTAAACTTTTTCTTTGAATTCTAATGGCATTAATGGTACAGGGTGATTCACCATAAATGTCCCCTCCTCTAGATCACTCATTTTTGAACCGATTCAAAAATTTGGAAAATAATCTGAAATGATTTTTTAGAAATGTTTTTCCCGTTGCATCAGAAAATACAGGGTGCTCGGAACAAAAGATCTACAGAGTACTATTTGATTTTTTCAAATTGAACACCCTGTATTTCATTGTATTTTTAGATTCTTCCTGAAGAGCTGATTTCATCGATGCATCACACTTGGGGTTTGGCGGGAATGATTACAGAGATATAGGGTGTTCAAAATCGATATTTTTCAACTTTAGGATTTTTTTTTGTCGAAACTATTCATTATTGGTCAAAACGGCTCCTATGTCCCTATCTCAACTTCTGATTTACTATCTACTGACATTTAATAGGAACATTTACAGGGTGGTTCAAGATTCAGAATTCTGATCACCTTGTATCTGCTCCAATTATTAAATGTCAGTAGTCAAAAGTTGAGATACGGATATGAAAGTTGTTTTGACCGATAATGAATAGTTTCGTCACAAAAAATCCTAATGTTGAAAAATCTCGATTTTGATCACCCTATATCTCTGTAATTATTCCCGCTAGACTCCAAGTGTGATACATTGATCAAATCAGCTCTTCAGGGAGAATCTAAAAATACAATGCAAAATATAGGGTGTTCCTTTTAAAAAAATCAAATAGTACCCTCAAGATCGTTTGTTCCGAGCACCTTGTATTTTCTGATGTAGCGGAAAAAAACTTTATCGAAAATCATTTCAGATGATATTTCAAATTTTGAAATCGGTTCAAAAATAACTGAGCTAGAGGGAGGGGGACATTTATGGTGAATCACCCTGTACCTAGTGTCTTGACACTCCTGATAAAATGAATAATAATAATAATAAGAAAAGAAGAAGACGAATAGAATAATAATGGTTGATTGGTGGTTTCAACGAATTATGAGTGAGAAACTTTTTTTTGTGATTTGATTGAACAATCAAATTATTGAATCCTGATGATTCTTATTCATTAAATATGTAATTATGTGTATCATAGGAGTATAGGTACAACGTCGAGTGATGCAGAAGCCCACAAATCTCCAAGTAAAGAAGGTAACATTTCGAATTTGTTTATGAAATATCCAGACAAGACAATTATATTAGCCGTTTCCGTTTGTTTAAATTTGCGTTTTCCAATTCGTGTTTGATGATCTGAAGTATGTTCGAAAGAAATCTTCTGATGATCGATAGATATTTTCCTATAGTTGGCCTCACTTAGGTAGGCAACCATTATAATCGCTGACAATACTATTTCCCAATTTATGCATTAACTACACATTTATCTGATTATCTCACGAAATTCTTCAATTACATAGAGAATTATGCAACAACTTTTTATGTATACCCCATAAATTCTTGATAGTCCTTCACTCTTCACTATTAGTTCAAAAAACTTCATGGCACAGACTCATTGTGGTGTGGTACTGTTAGTAGCTAGTGTCTCCATAATCATAAATAATGAGAAGAAGAGAAGATTTAAAATCGTCGTTTCATTTCAAACAGTGATTTTTTGTTAGTTGGTTGAAATTGTCTAAATATTGATAATTATCATAGATTGAATGTGTAATGGAATTTATAGTGTCCAGTAACATAAACAGACCCCATGCAGTTCATGTTCCTCAGAGACGCCGAATAAACAAGGTACAATTTCGATCATTGTTTTCATGTATCCAGACAAACAGCAGTTTGTCCGTTTGTTCACATTATATATTCAAGGTGGAATTAGTATGTAATATTGATAATCAGAATCGTGTTTCCTGCTCCAGCACAATAAGTTGAAATTACCAGCCCTAACCCTAAAAAAGACGTGTATCCCTACCTGTAAACACTAAATTATAATTTCGGCAGTTTACAGAATAGTTGAAATGTTTCGGATTTCGGGTTTCAGAAAATGGCATTATCGGCATTATCGGCAACTTTGATTCAATGCTGAATAAGTGAAAAATGGCTTTAGGAAACAAAGCAAACTATACAGGGTGATCCACGGTGGATGGCCTATTAGAAGTATCTGGAGAACGAAAAGACAGAACATTCTGAAAATTGGGATGCTTTGATAATTGAACATTCTCTATCCCTCTGAAATATTTTCATCGATACAGTGTTGCCACTTCTATCAGAAACAACTAGCATCTTCGTTATTTTAAATGGAGCACCCTGTATTTTATTGCATTTTTAGATTCTTCCTGAAGAGCTGATGTCATCGATGCATCACACTTGGGGTCTAGCAGGAATGACTACAGAGATATAGGGTGTTCAAAATCGAGATTTTTCAATTTTAGGATTTTTTTGTGTCAAAACTATTCATTATTGATCAAAACGGCTTACATGTCCCTATCTCAACTTTCGATTCACTATCTACTGACATCGAATTGGAACAGATACAGGGTGATCAGAATTCTGAATCTTGAAGTACCCTGTATTTTCTCCGATTAAATTCCAGTAGATAGTGAATCAAAAGTTAAGATAGGGACATGTAAGGCGTTTTGATCGATAATGAATAGTTTCGACACAAAAAATCCAAAAATTGAAAAATCTCGATTTTGAAAACCCTATATCTCTATAATCATTACTGCTAGACCCCAAGTGTGATGCATTGATGAAATCAGCTCTTCAGGAAGAATCTAAAAATGCAATAAAATACAGGGTGTTTCATGTGAAATAACAAAGTTGCTAGTTGTTTCTGATAGAAGTGGCAACACTGTATCGATGAAAATATTTCAGACGGATAGATAATGTTCAATTATCAAAGCATCCCAATTTTCAGAATGTTCTGTCTTTTCGTTCTCCAGATATTTATACAGGGAGTTCCATTTAAAAATAGTGATTTGGGCTTTTTTTTTTTCATTTTGTGCGAAATTTTGCGATTCGCATTTGTTTATTTAAGGAATCCCAAAAGATAGTACAGATAAAACCCTACAACTTCCATATTTGAAGTTTTTTTCCACCTCGTATAGTTGAGGCTGTAGGTGGGGCTCAAAATATACAGAGACACCCTGCACAGAGTTTCTCTGTAACTATTCCAACATGCTTTGTCGACAAAATCTAAAATTTCCATCCGGTTTTCCTCTCTTCTCCCTTGTTGCAAAACCTGTCTCAAGTGGTGGACGAAACCCACATTCACAGGGTGAAGAAAGTGTCGAATTCG